TCATCTCTGGTCGGCGTGTCCCCTCCCGCCCGCCTGGGCTTAGCCTGGGACACTGGCCCTGGAGGTGGGAAGAGGAAACTTGGGGACCCAGGAACCAGGCCGCCTCTGGCCAGACGCACCTAGCAGTTCCGTTCCGGCCAGTGTCGGGTGGCGAGCCTGGGGGGACTCGGGGCTCCGGGGTGTGATGTTCACGGGCAGGTCTGCAACCTGGGCCACCGCTAGAGGTAACGGCCGGCAGTGAGGAAGCCTGGGCCAGGGCCGCAGCAAGCCCTCGGGTCTCAGGCTCTCCTCTGGGCTTGGGAGTCCCCAGGGTGTCCTCCAGGCCCCGTGTGAGGCCACGTCTACTGCCCGTTCTGGGGACACCTTAAGGAGGGAGGTTGGGGTGGGGATGGGGACGCCCTCGGGAAAGGGGTTGGGGGGCTCTGAGTTCCTTATTTAGACCAATACGGTCCTCACAAGCTCTGCCCACACCCAGGGCTAGGCCTGGTCCCTCAGCCCACAGACCCTCTGCTTTGCCTTCTGGAGAAAAGAGAGGAGAACCCCCTGACTTCAGCCAGTGTCGCCCCTGTGCCTGTTTTTTAAACATGTTTTTATTGATTTTTAGAAAGAGGGGGAGGGAGAGGGAATCATGGACCGGCTGCCTTCTGCCCGTCCCCCACTGGGGATCGAGCCCCAACCCAGGCATGTGCCCTGACCGGGAACCGAACCTCCTGGTTCCTGGGACGACGCCCAGCCAACGAGCCCCACTGGCCAGCCCTGTGCCCGTTTTTGCTCCAGGGTCAAGGCCCACCCGCGGCCCGGCCCTCGCTCCTGGCAGAGGCCCCCTTTCTGTCTGCTGGGGGCTCCGAGGAAGAGAGCTGCTGGGCGGCCTCAGGAAGGCACCTCCCCGCCCTCAGGGGCTCAGGACACGCTGGCTGGCTGGCTGCGCCCGGCCCGGATGCCTCCCCGAGCTCCTCCTCTGTCTGCCCGCAGGATGGCTCTGTGGGGAACACATCTCCACCCCCGGAGGAGGCCCCCGGAGACCAGGTCGACAGGAAGGGCCCCCCGGGGGGTGCCCCCTTTGAGCTGCCGCAGATGCTGCTGGAGACGGACAGGTGAGCGGGCTCTGCTTCCGGCCCATCGCCTGCCCTTGGTTCCAGGGGAGGCTGAGGGAATTGGAGGCCTGGAGGCCTGGAGGCCAGGACAGACTCCCCACCCCCCGGGTTGGGCAAGCAGCCTCCTGGACACCCCCGTGTCCCCCCCAGGAAGCTCCCCCACTGCTTGTCCAGGTTTTATTGGGGTTTCATCACGCAGCACAAATTATCACATCACTGGCCACATCCGCCCTCCTGGGATGGGGCTGCCCAAAGTCCCGCCTCTAACGTGCTGGTCTTTGGGGTGAGCAGCCCCCATCCCGACACCACCTGCTGCCACCGGCTCCTCTGCGCAGCAGGACATCCTGTCCCCCAGACCGTCCCAGGGCAGCGGTTCTCAACCTTCTGGCCCTTTAAATACAGCTCCTCATGTTGTGACCCAACCATAAAATTATTTTCGTTGCTACTTCATAACTGTAATGTTGCTACTGTTAGGAATCGTCATGTAAATATCTGATAAGCAGGATGGTCTTAGGCGACCCCTGTGAAAGGGTCGTTCAACCACCAAAGGGGTCGCGACCCACAGGTTGAGAACCGCTGGTCCCAGGGTTTTGGGAGAAGGCGGTGCCAGGGCCGGGAGGGCCAGCATGTTCAGGGGCCGCCTCCCGGTGAGTCTGTGCCTCGAAGGCCCCCAACCACCGGCCTCTGGCCTTCTTCCTAGCGAGTGTCCTGCCTGCGCTGGGACTGCAGGTCGCTCGCGCACTTGGCGGGTGTCCCCTCGGAGGCAGCGTGTCCGCGGGGCTGCATCTCCTC